CTGCTCTTGCAGCAGCAGAATGACTTCTACTGTCAGCAGCTGTGGGTGATGCCACGCAGCCTAGAAATGTTTCTGAGCAAAGTGTGTTGGATGTGCTTATGCCTGCGTGTTCATATGTCCTCTTGGCAATCGTGACCCTTTGCTGGGGATTTTTGGTTGCAGCTCTTCTGACTGCATCCTCCTCTTGCTCCCCATGGGAGGGTCGGTGGAGCCGGGCCCACCAGGTGGCACTGGTGAGACGAAATGCCCGTCAAAAGAACGGCTAGAGAAAGGCAGGGCCTTACCGGCTGTGCATTTAGGGACAGAGATGTAACTAAACTCATATCCCCACTGCAATAGGGAGCACAGTGTTACATATCTGGAGCAGCAGCAGAATGATTTCTAGAACAGCTCCTGGATATGTAATGGCAGAGAAACCTCAGCTGGGAGGCTGTCCAGTCTTTGTCCTCTATCGTGCTACAGTCTCTGGCTGTGCTTGAATCCTTTGACCTCTATGGTAGAAAACAAAGACCAGAACTCACTGACTGCTTTTATTTTTTATTTTTTCCCCTCTGCTGCCCTTTTGATATTGATATCCAGCAGCCTAAACTCTATTGCATCTGCTTTTACAGCCTGTGTACTCTGGGCAAATCCTTCAAAAACCTGATTTAAAGAAAAAAAATAAAAATAGTTGGGTATTGACAGCTTTTCCTTTTCTGGTTGACCTAAAAAAAATATTCTGGAAGTGGTCTTGGCTTTTGAAGTTGTGGTATAGTGTGTATAGTGTGTATTCCCCCTGTGAAGTCCGAATTAGATTAGGACTTGTTTTACAGGAAATCTTAGATAATGTCTACCTGTGTCACAGCTCAGCTCTTTGGGTGTAGCCCAGTAGTCTCAATAGCCCATGATTTACTGCCACCAGTGGAATGAAACAAAATCACTTTCTCTGATTTATATCCTCTATTGTAGTTAAATATTTACACAGTATCAAGATCTTAGTAATTGAATGGCTAACTGATAGGCAGCAAGTGTTTATACACCTCTGAAATAGCCACAGGGCCATTGAGGCAATGATATTTCATACTGATAAAAGGTCTTTTAGTAAGAAGAAACTTAAAGCTGTTTCAGCTCCGTTTTGTTCTCAGGGATTGCACTGACTCATGCAGATTTCAGTGGGTGCTGCAATTTTCAGACAAAAAAAAAAAAAAAGCCCCACTTATTTCAGAAAAAACACTTGTGCTGAAATGAGACAATTATGGAGGAACACAGCAGTTTTCACACAACAGCATTGTTGAATGCTTCAGCGAAGAAGGCAAGAATAAACATCAGATTGGTATCAGCCTTTGAGGGAAACTGAAGCTAGCAGATTTAAACAATACTTACCAGTATTAAATCAGGACCTTTTTCCATTCACTTGCAGAAAGGTATCATTACATATTTCATGACCCATAGGTAATGAAAATTAGCCCTGTTTCCTGAAGCAAGAAGGGATCATTTAATTCCTACTTGTTCTGTTTAATTCTACATCCAGGTGAGGAAACTGGAATTGAAAGCAGGTACAACAATTGTAAATGACTGCAAATACTGCCACACTAAATTCTAACTACTTTTACTGCAGTATTCTGAGCTTCTAAGTAGAGCTGCTCTGGGTTATGCATTGTTAGTCTGGGGCAGGCCAGTGGTGTCTATTTCACAGAGAAAGGAGTTGCTTGTAACTTCAAACTGTGTAGCTTTATAATGAAAGATATCAACACTTTTAAAAACAAAGTAAAACTGCATGGAACCTTTCTACTTACACTGGCTTCTCTTTTTAATCACTGCTTGGAATGGTCAGATTTTTGAACTGATGGGATTCAAATTGGACTAGAAAGGTAAAGAAAAAGTGATTGGCAAGTGAGTTCTTATTTTGTCTTTTGATTACAAAAATCTTCACAGCAGGCGTCTATAATAATATAATGTATTTTATCTATAATGTGTCTATAATGTAATTCTAGAGTGAATGTTGTGAAGAGATGCTAAACATTTCAGGTCCTACTTGTGATAGTATGACTTCAGATAATAGAAGAGGGAAGGCTATTTGGGGTTCTAATAAGTAGAAACAGAATTCAGTTCAGACTAATTAAGACTAAGCATAATTTCCAATATAATAAATGTTATTGATACCTGGGTAGTCTATCTATCCCTAAATTAAAAAAAAAAAAAAAAAAAAAAAAAAAAAAGTAATGCTGATTTTGACTTTGAGAACAAGTTTCTCTAAGGTCCAGACGTTTAACTTGTATGTAAGTGAAACGTATAACACTTAAGATTAAAGGGGATGCTGCTGCTTAGAGATCACAGGGGTTTCTTGGTCTTATCATGCTAGCTGGGAGCAGTAGAATCTCCCTTATGTAAGGGAAGTTTTCCCAACGGCATTTTAACCGCCTGCAGTGATTTGTAGTAGGATACTTTGGGTTGCAGCCTTTAAGCTGAGCGTGGCTGTTAGGCAGCTTGCTTGCAACACGGGCAGTGGAATGCAATACTGTTTGTACCGGTAAATCATGACAGCTTTACTGAGATGCAGCTCTATGCTCACAGCATGTCTCTCTGGATCCTTAACCCCAGGCATTTCACCTCGCGGGGTCCTTTGAGCAACGGCAGCTGTGCTGCTCCTCCTGCCTTGCCACGTATGGGTTGCGCACGCTGGGAGTGCAGCTGCGGGATCTGTCCCAGGAGACGCTGGGAGCGCCGAGCCGCTGGGCGGCCCGTTTCAGCACCACGGACAGCGGCGCCACCCAACACGGGCAGCGGCTGCGCTCCAGGTGCGCCGCGGGCACGGCGGGATGCGGCGCTGCTCGGAGGTGCAGCTTCTGCTCTGTGCTCCGACCCATCCGATGGCACACTGCATGCCTTTGAAAACGTTGTGTAGTGCTCACGCTTCCGTTAAGAACGACAGAAACCGGGGAATAATGTGGTGATGGTGGTGGAAGATGTTGGATGTGTAAGTAGGACTTTTAGATGTTCGTTTATTAGAGCGTGTTCTCTCACTGATAAGTTTCTGAGGAGGGTATTGGGAGTTTCAACTAACCGTGCCTGTATCACTGGTGCAATCTGTGAGTGGGGATTTTGAATGAATCGAGAAAAAGTTAAGGCTCAGCCCAGGTACTCGTGCCCCTGGTGATTTTTATAGTCTGTTGCTTGCACTCCACTCTTGTGTTGATTTCCCTGGGCTGCAGTGCACGTAAATATCTGGCCTCGAAATAACTCAATAATGCACAAATAATGGAGCAGAGGAATGATAGGAGAGATTGTATTTTAGGTGAATCGTGGCTCATCCAAAAATTGTTTATAGACTGCCCTCTCTTACGGGATGTTATCTACCTGGCAATAAGTCAGGATGTTTATGAATTAACTGCTAGACTTACTGTCTTTTCTATAGGCCAAATGAGTTTAAAGATTAGGGTTCACTTTGTATCTCTTCATTAGCAATAAAAAAATCTCACATTTCAATGAAAAATAGATCTCTCTGGTCCCGACTGGTGTGTGGTTGCTAATAAACCTTCCCACAATCAGAGAAGAAAGTTAATAAGTAATGTAGTCTTACTTTTGGTGTCGACTACAGCTGACTAAATGGAGATTTATGCTCTTTACTCGTGCTTTTCTTTCATCTTCAGTCTCTTTACATCACAGCTCGGTACTACTTTATAATTCATCACTACAGAATCAAAATCAAGAGTACACTGAGTACTATGATGAGTCAGGTCACCCTTGATCACAGTGCTCAACTGACTAGGAAAGAAGGTACAGGTCTATTAAGTGATAGTCTGATGCTGCAAAAGCAACAGAAGAAAAGCACAGCACTTCCCTCTGCCTTAGTTGCTTTGTAGCATGGAATCCATTTGAGTCTAAACAGTGATGGATCACCAAAATGCACTGTGCAAGCTTAGACTGAACCTGGCATGTGCATGGCTGTTGTATGTTGACTTCTACTGTATTGTGATCCTTTTTTTGTGGGCACTTGTTACCAGGAAGTAAAGGTTCCTCTCAGTCTTCTACAGAGCCACGTAAGCTGTAGGTGTTACCTTGCGCAATGTGAGCAACAGGTCTTCTGTTTAATAGATGCTTAAGTGTGAAGGTGTGGGCAGATATGCACCAATTAGATGTTATTTGGAGTTTTATTAGGCATAACTTAATGACGCGGGTAAAATTGATGTTTACGGATAATCACAGTGCTTTTCAATCACAAAAATCAAAACATGGAGTGTTAAATTAAATTGCTACTGTTAGCATACATTCTTAAAAACGTGGGTTGTTTTAAATGGTGCAGCTGCACATTACATTCAGAAAATAAATGAACCTCAAATAAAAAAATAAAACAAATATGTTAATACAAAATGGATATTTACAGATAACGAAGTTCACCACTGTCCAAAGAACCTCCCAGTCAGGCTTCCCCATCCTAGACACTTACATGCCTGAGGCTGCTCCTAGGCAAGAAGGAACTTCTCACATTTGCAGCAGCAAGAATAATGTTTTCTTGTTAAAACTGTTATGAACTGGTTCATGGTGTAGAAATCAAAGCACAAAAACAAACAGGTATACCAGAGCTGATATCAGAACCTAGAACCCATTCTGCTTATAGAGTAATAAAAAAAGCAAAAGAATTTCAGTACTCATCTGGAGGCCGACTTGCTTATTGTGCATTGGTGTTAGAACAGCTTGTCTGCACTGCTCAAAAAATGATGCTGTTATGGGAAAAGAAAAAATAACCCTTTATTTGCTTGTATGTCTTTTGTTTCCTTTCCAGTGTGCTCCTTCCATAGCAATCAGCAGTACTGTTCCCATGGAGCAGATGACAGACAACTTTTCTCAACCAGGTGTCCAAACCAGAACTTTGAGTTTGTATGTGCAAACAAGGAGCAGCACCATGGGACTCTCTGCCCAGATGAGCTCCAGTAAACCAAGCTCAGACAGAAATCCCTACCACAAGATCTATGCCTTCACGCTGAGCAAAACTCAGGAGCTCACAACAAACAAAGAGGATACACTCAGGTGCATAATTCACTGAACTATGTTCCTACATCTACAGATTATTTACTATGACAAGAGGACCGGCCATCTTTGTACAAAATGCTCTAGAGGTACAAGAATTGTTTGGTTCCACTGAAACCCTACTTGGGATTGTATCAAAGATGTGACAGCTTTGTGCTGGTTCTTTGCAGAAGTTTTCACGTGAAGTGATCTGAAAGATGTGGAAGGGAAATGTCAAGCGGAGAAGTATTTTCTCTCTTTAGAGAAAACAAAACCTGATTAAATGTTTGCTGACAAAACAAATAATGTATTTGCTACTGCTGTTCACTGATAGCATTCGAACACGACGGCAGTAGTATCCAGTAGCATTAAAATATATAGAACTTTCTCATGTAACTTTTACAGCTGCTTGGAAGACATGGTACGTACAGCTATGTTGAGTGTAATCCTCTGGTCACACTTCTATTAGCTATACGCTGTTCATTCCACATCACCACACAAAACAGGGTTTCTCATCACTTATTCAAGTCAAGGTCAGGCATTTTCTAGACAGTCACACACACCAATAAAAGCTCTGGTGACAAGCGTTTTCTTCAGTGCTACCTTATAAAGTAAGGCAAGAGGAGATCAGCAGAAAAGAACTGCCTTGAGAAAGAAATTAGCTGTTTGTAGGACAGTTTTGTTTTTTTTTTCTGCTTCCATTTGAATACAGAAAAGTGCTATAGAAACAGTGGTCTTGTCTGACCAGATTTATCAGCTGGCCACATTTTTACTGACTACAACAAAAGCCCAGAACAAATTACTGTATTTATTCCCTGTGTGGTGGTGGTATTTTTATTTCAGTGCAATACTGCCTACAATCAATGTTTTCAAATTAGCTATTGTGGGAGTCTGCTCTACGACTTCAAAGTAACTAGAGAAATACAGTTATTTAAGTCTTTTGGGAAACCACTACATGGAGAATCCCAAATACTGCAATTCTAAGGCATGAGAGATAGTTTTATCCTTCAAAAATAAAATACCTAGTTGTCTATAGAAAAAAAAATATGCCCACTGGAAGGAAATGCCCACATGTGGTTATTTTTAAATTATCTAAGTGCTTCCTTATCTTACTGGGGCTATTCTGAAAGCCAGAATAATAAACTGCTCCCTTCATTTCCAATACTTAAGTATCAAAATACTATATAGCAGAAAACAAAGGTAATATGAAGCATTACCAGTGAACTTACTTCATGTCAGTTGACTTCATATAATTAGTAGTATTTAGAAAAAAATAAAGTCCTGCACAGTGCTGGAGCACCTTCTTGTCAGAGGTTTTTAAAGCATCCTTAAGGCAGTCATAGTCTTCGCTATGCCTGCCTGTCACTGCTGCCTGATAAAGACACGGAGAGGTAAGAGATGGTGCTGAAGGTTGTAGTTTCCAAACACTAACCACTATGTGATACTGCCTCTCCAAGCTAGGAGAAATGTAAACATTTCCCACAGGAAGCATGAAAGATAGAATGGAAAGAGGAAGCAGACCTTACTCTGGGCTGAGGTTGACTTCAGGTAAATCTCTGTACGATCTCATAAATCAGGACAAAAAAGTAAACAAGTTGTTCCCTAGAAACAAAACCTCTGGTTTCACAAGTGCAAAATAGATGAAATGAAGCTGTACAAAGCACTTTTGAAGCCAGGAGTGGCTTCCTTCTATGAAAGCATCCAGTCTTCAGCTGGTGAAGGGGGAAGAAAATCAGTGAAAAGACTAGTGGGATGGTGCAGCTCAGGGGAATGCATCCTTTGCAGAAAAAGTGCTCTGAGTGTGCATTAACCACAGATGAGAAAATGTCTGCCACAAACACCATGGGCCAGGGCATTAGCTGGTGGTGGCAATGTCACTATTCCAACTGCATCTCCAAATCTAGTTCTTGTTCTGTAGCTTAAGTTGATGAGAAACAGGGCTCTAACTTCTAAAACTCCTTTTATCTGGCAGGTAAAAGACCTTTACATAGGTCTTTTACATACAAAACGTAACAGAGAGAACACTTTTAATCAGAGCAGAGGAAAATCTCCTAAATTTGATGAATCACTTGCAGTTATGTAGCCTCCAGGCAATAGAAGCAAGTCTTATCTTTTTTTGAAGAGCCCTCAGAAAACAACAGCACCATGTGACTGTGAGTAGGTCAAGCTAATGTAACATACAAACAAAAATGCATGGGTTGCCTTAATCCAAGGCAATCTATGTAGCTAAGAGAGACCCAAATCACTCAGATACTGCTGATCCTCAGCCAGAGACTGATGTCATTTTTGTCATTTGTGAATGTCAGAGAGATGCTGTTTCCAAAGTGTATTCTCCAATCCCTTCCGCCTTGATGAATGTGGGCGCAATCATCAGTGCTGAAAGTAGTCGAGGCTGACAGTCATCAGTTAACAAGGAATAACTGATGATAGAAAAAACGCGATGCAGGAAAAAAGCATGCTTCTCAACACAGGCACGAGAGAAGTATGTCCTGTCTGTACAATGGGCCTAGGGCAGATGTATGTCCCACTGTGATCTGGAGCCACATCTGTGAAAATCTGGGAGGGAATCATGAGCATGTGTGTAAAAGCAGCATTTAACAGAGCCCAGAAGGACTTCTTTCTGAGAGACAAGGCTGAACTTGTCTTGATCACAAGATGAAGTGTCTGTTTCCTACATCCCTCACGGCTGACCCTTGACACAGGTGCCTTATTCAGCCTGTTTAGGCACCCAGGTGAATCTCCATCCTCCATCATCTTCTCTGCGCACAAAAGCTTGTCCTTGTTGGAAGGTGTGTGTTCTCACATTGCGGTGAGGACTTAGAAATGTTGTGAAGGCCACTTCTGTTTTGTTAGGTGACAAATTGTTAGTCAAATATGGCAACTCATAGGCTGGAAGGGAGGAAATGCTTGGCTCCGGTGAGGAGGTGTGTGGTGCTGAAGGAAACTGAGAAAGGAAGGAAGAGTCCTCACTGTATGGATGGGTGCTGTCAGCTGGAGGCATGTGGCTGCAGCGGTATGCTGCTGCCACTGCTTCACTGTGGTCATAGTCGATGGCTTCACCAGGGCTAAGGCAGTATGTGTCTTTTCCAAGGTCCGAAGTCAAGGCACTGTAGTTAGCTGAAGATTCATCAATGGTGTTGACGTCTTTTAATCCTAAAGTCTCCAAGACCCAGCTGTCCACAGCAGGGCTGGCTTGCTCTTCACAGGCAGAGAATTCATTAAAGAGGTTCCTTCTAGCTTTAGAAGCATGAGGAGTTTCTTGAAGAGCAAAGCAGTAGTCCTCTTTTAATCTCTTTTTGGTGTTTTTGAGAATAGTAGAGGTTTTTTGGCTGTGGCAGGATAGCACTTTCTATTAAAAATAAATTGAAAAATGGAGAGAGGTTAAAAGCTGATTTTTCTAATTAGCAGTAAACAACATATTTCTGACCTTTAACGTTAGATAAATAAGACAGTTACCACTGTCTCTGTAAAAGATACTTTCTTCCACCCTTCCTCCTTAGACGCATGGATATGACTAATTATTTTGACCCTACAGCTTCTGCAACAACATAGTCTCTATAAGAGAAGAATTTGACAATGTCAATAAGGCCTGTACTTTGATTGCATTCTCACTCAGTAAGGCGTGAAACGAGAGCTCCTGCCTGGCTGTGCTTCTGTGTGCTGCATTTGGCAGGTGAGTGCTGGGGGGGAACATGGCAGCATGACAAAGAGGGAGGATGCTGAGGTAAGTCATGCTGGGGCAGGTGTGATCTTGGCTAGGGAGCTCGTGGAGCTGCAGCTGCCATGACTTTAAGAGTTTCTTTTCACAGGAAACTCTGGAATAGGTGTTCTTTGTTTTTTAAGAAGATCGGTGTTCTCACTCAAATAAAATGTACCACTGGAAGGTGACAGAAATGAATCATAGAACATAAATCATCTAAAATGTTAAAAAAAAAGATAAGAAAAAGCTTTTCAGAAGGGGTAAATGACAAAGCAGGCAAATTCAAGGAATATTTTGATACATTCCAATTTGAACTTTTCACCGAAGAAACAGATTTGGGACATAACACTATTACTGTCCTCTACTTAGAACCTAAACTTAACCATGCTATGGGCTATATTGTCTGCACAGTTTGAACCTAATAGGATCTCACCAGGCAGGTTGTCTGCACTCCTAGACCTTCCATGTATTTGAATGGCATGTATCTATTCAATTTGTTTCTCTTGCACACGACTTTACAACAGCTCTGAACACAATACCTTGGCTTTTTCTTCTAAACATTTAACCAGGGCAGAATTCAGGTACTGTCGGAGGTTATTATTTTCTTCATGTAACCTAGCAAGTTCCTCTTCCTTCTGAAGCAAAGTGTCTTGAAGCTGTGGAACAGAGATACTGATGAATAGGTGTTGACTCTGTAACTTAATAGCAATTGCCCTATGGTACAGGCTGCTTGGATTTGATGAACAGGGTGTTTGCTTTGCGAACTCAACCCATCCCCTTAAGCCTCTTGCCTCTGTTAATCTAAGTGGCATGACTGTTCAGTTTTCACTTTTGACTTCTTTTATTCTTTATCAAGTGTTTGAAAAGATTACTCTGGGGAAGGAATTTATTTAAAAAAAAAAAAAAGACTAAGTGCAGAATAACAGCATTAAAGAATTACGGGTGAACAGCCAGAAACCGTCACGGTCAAAACAGCAGTTACCAGATCTCCTCCTGAGATGCAGCAAGCATCCCTTTACATCCCTTTCATTCCACTCTGTAGTTGGTTGGTGGGGGAAAGGAGATGGAGCTGCAGGCAAACAATTGATGGTGCTTGTATGCAGAAAGAAGATGCAACTGCCATTCTTTACAGTAAAGTGCTACTCAGGTACTCCTTCAATCCTGGACACCACCCTGCAAAGTGAAGTTCATGTACCTAAGACCTGGTCCCAGCAACTGAACAAGTATGTTTTATTTGCAGAGCCCTAACAGAGAATGGGTCTTTGCAGAGACCTCTGCTTCCTGACCTCTGCTCTGGAAACTCTGTTAAGAGGACTAAGGAGCTCCAGTGATGGATCCCAGAGACCTGCTGACCACAGGATGATAATTTAAATGATTGAGGTAGAATCAGAGGTAGATTGAGGTAGAATCAAAGAAAGCACCCTAACAAGGGTTCGATTACAGGGACCTTAAAGATAGTATAAAAGTTTCTATCATCTTCATTATATCAAAATACCATCCCAAGTATCTCATCAGAACGATCTTTCTGGGATTCTTCATCTGGAACTGGCCAGTATCATTCTGCTGCTTGATGTGATTTGCAAAGAAAAGAGGGAAAATAACAAGGAAATGCTTGTTGGTTAAAATGATTGATCCTTCACGTGAGTAGGTGATTCTGGGGAACAAAGTCCCATGACAGTAATCGTCATGGGTTCAGGAAGACATAGATAATATATTTCTAATCAACAGCATGAGGTTCTGCAACATCAGAGCCTAAGGGATTCCCCAGCCGTGTCCCTGGGCTTCTGCGGCGGTATGAAAGGAAAGATGTACAGGGAACCCCATTCTAGCTTCGTGAAATGACACGGGGGGGAAGGGGGGGGGACGCTCACGTCAAGAAAAGACCAAAAAACGCCCGAAAGCAGAGAAAGGCGAGTCTGCCACTGCCATTCGGGGAGCGGGGCCGTTACCTGCTTGTTCCTGTAGAGCTGGGAGGACAGCTGGTCTCCCCGCCACGCCTCCTCCTGGCCAACGAGCTCGGGGACGAAGAGCCGGCCTGTGCGACAGCACAGCGGGGTCAGACCGCTCCGGCCGGCCGGGGCTGGACCCCTCGCCCCCCGCCAGCGCGCACTTACCCGGCGGCCGCGCTTCCCGCCGGCCCTGATCGTGCTCGGGCGGCTCCGCGGCGCAGACGGCGGCCCACGTCTCCTTGGAAACCCCGGCGGGGACGGGCCAGGGGCGAGCGCAGCCCTGGCCCCCGAGGAAGCCCGGCTCCGGGCACGGCCGGCTGCTGCTCTGCGGAAGCAAAGGGTCGTAGCGAAGGGGCGGCCGGCAGCTGAGACCCCGTCCTCTGCGCGTACCGGGGGGGCGGGAGGCGGTGTCAGCCCTGCCCCGGCGCTCCCCCCCGGGCCAGCTGTGGTTCGCTCAGGTGCCCGGCGCAGGGAGCCCCGTGTGCCGCTCCGGGAGCCGGCCGCTTGCTCGCCCCCCTCCCGGCTGGCAGTGCTCCGCAGCCCCCCGCTACCGCCGCTGGGCACCGTGCGGTGCCGCCTCCGCGGCAGAGGGGCTCCAGGCAGAGGTGTGCCGAGAAGAGGGCTGAGTTTCCTGTGATCCCTTGGGAAATATTACTGTCCCGAGCGAGTTTTAGAGGAGGAGGGGAGCTAGACTGTTCTTGGCCAGTCCTTTCCTCCCACCTCGTGGGATCGATTCGTCTCTAAAGCTGCACAATGTTAGCAGTCACCTCCAGGCTGCTTGCTCTACTCTGCCCCCGCGGTTCTACAGGAGTCCCAGACTGCACAGTAGCAGAGCCTGGGGTTGTTTCTTGAGTCACCCCCCTTCCCTCCTCCAAATAAGCACGACGGCGGAGCCTGGAGCCTCGAGAGGGGAAACTGCTCAGCCAAGGGGAGGCACAGCAGCAGAGATTGCTCTTGCAGGTGGTGGAGAGCCGTCTTCCTTCTCCATCTCAGAGGGCACAAAACCTCCTGCAAGCCCCCAAGGCAAAGAGACCAGCTGCTCCTTTTCTGCCTCCAGGTCGAGAGAAATGCAAAGAGCACTTACCATGTTAGTGGTAGAATGAAGTGCAGGTCTTGGGAGTACGTTTAAAGCCCCAGCGAGGTTTAAATGGCTCTGAAGGAGGGGGAGAGGGGGGAGACCGAGGAGGCGAGTTTAATCTAAAGGAGCTCCCAGTGACGCCTCAGAGCTCTCCTGAAACCCAGCAATCTGATTTGGTGCAAAGCTGTCAAACTTGTGACGTGAATAAACAGCAAACTTGCTGAAATCAAAGTCATTCTGGTCCCACAAATCAACACAAGGAAGGAGGGAAAAGAAAAGAAGGAGAGAAGGAAAAAAGCCTCCACACACTTCAGGACAGCACTGAGCTAGGGTGTCTGACTTTCACTCTGGGAAATGAGGAGGGATCCTGGGAAGCATCCCACATATTCAGAGCAAGGCTGCTGGTGTTTGCTGTTGTTGTGTTTGAGGTTTTCTGTTTGTTTGTTTGTTTTGTTTGTTTTTAGTTTTGATTTATTTGCTTGATTTTAAAGCTTTGCTTGCAGCTGTAAAATCCAGCAGGAAGAAGCATGTTTGATCAGCATGTCTGGCTAACGGAGTGGGTTTTCCATGGCTTCCCAGGGATGTGTAGAAGCAAACGTGATCCAAGCAGCTCTGTGAGCAGTTTTGATGAGGAAGAAGGTGCAGATTTCAGAACAACACAGTCTGCAATGACACTGAAACAGTCTCACTTTATAGAGAATCAGTTTGCTGTTAAGCCTCGGGCTTCCTGGAGGAAACCTGAGGATAAAAATGCAGTATAAATGGTGTAAAATTTACTATCACAACTGTAATATAGCAAAAGTCACATGCGGGTGTATTTAAGATTGTCTGCATATACAGTCTGTTTAGAACTGACTCAAATCAATTCCATGACAATCAAAATCCATAAGTAGGCTTGAAATTGTCCCAGGGGAAACAACAACAACAAAAAAGACAAAACAAAATCTGAGGATAGTCTGCACAGGGGTTGGTGTGAATAAAGCTACCAGCAGAGCAGTTAGTCAGTCGAAATCCTGCTCCTGTCATGGCTAGAGCTGTTGAAGGGGGGTAACCCAACCTGCTTGAGGATACAATCTGCAACCAGTCAAGGGTGAGGCTGAGCCAAAAGCAGGCCAGGCTGGTGTATGGGATGGCTTTTCATTTCCCCCCCCCAGAGGATGCTTGGTGCTGTTACCGTATGAGCAAGGCTCAGGGACAATAAAAACCAAGAGGGCTGCTTGTCAACCATTCTTTTCTTACTGGCATACTTTCCTAGGTTGCTGCCCAAGGTAAACTGGCAGCAATGCCAAATTAAATCACTGCCATCACCTCCCTTGATTATGTTTTCTTCCAACTCAGATATTTTATAAAGGGCTCATGCTCCAGAGCCACACCACACCCGGCCTCTGGTCACCTGGCTACAGCAGCTTTCCAAACTCCAGCTCTGCATTCAATATACTCAGTAACTACTACAATATCCCACACTCTTTGGGTGCCAGTGCCTCTTCTGCTTGGCTGGAAGGACTCTAGCAAGGAACACAATCTCTATAAAATGCTTTCAAAGGGCATCAAAGTTCTGCACTACTGTTCTTAGTGTGTTTTACTCCCTTTTCCCCCTAGTTGGATGACTTGGAGGCCTCCTAGAGCACTGTGGAAGCGCAGGCTTCCCCACCTCAGGTGAGGATGGTGATCCCCAGGCCAGGAAGGGCCTGTAGGCAGCAGGCAAAGCCAAGAGAGACTAGAGCTCAAGGCTGTGGGCACCTAACAGGAGCAGGCCTGATCCAGGCAGCCTTGAGGGCAGACAGCAAGCTCCCCAGAAGTGCTTCTTGAGGCACTAAGGCCCCACGGGGCCTCCTTGGCCCCAGCAGCCCCTTTGCACGCCGCAGCCCTGGCCTCAGGCCGCCCGAGAGAGCGGCCATCTTGGGGCAGCTGTAGAGGCACTCGAGCGCCGGCTCCGGCCATTGGGGGAGGCGATCGGTCCTAGTGACGTCATCACTACGCGCCAGCACAGCGGGGGGAGGAAGTAGTGGCTGCGAGGGGTGTTTCTGAGCGTCCTGTTTGGGCGCGGATCTTCGTGCCTCCACGTGGGCCTCTCTTGGCGTCTGCACGCGGCCTGGGGGCAATGTCCGGCCCTGAGGGGCAGGTGGAGAGGAGTCTGCAGTGGGGAATATGGTGGAGCGGGTGTCCCTGCATAAGGCTTGCCCCCTGTAGGCTCCCCGGTCATCCTTTTAGTCACAGACTGCCCCAAAGCAGACCAACAGACGCAGAGTTTCCTTCCTGCTTTGTGGGTGTGGGGACAGGTGCTGCTGGTCCACAGCTGCTGCTAGATGGCTGTTTTCCTGGCACGGTGCTGGTGGCTGTGTCTCTGCTTCCTCTCAGCAGAACTTAGTGCTCAGGCATGCTGTTTGCTTCTGAGAAGTGGAGTGACAAGTATGGACGCTCTCTTTGATTGAAAATGAGGTATGAAGTAAACCTGTGTTCACCTCATTGTTGCATCTGTGGAGCTGACATCATATTGTATTTTACTGTTGGCTTTTCTTTCACTGCTCAGATAATTCTTTTTGAGTCCCTGCGCTGTGAGAATTAAGGATGGTATGTGGGTAAAAGACACCGAAACAGAGCCTAGGTTCCCATAGGTTTGATGCCTGACTTCCTGTCCAGGAAAGGCAAATGCAGTTGGTCTAAGAGGGAAAAAGCTAATTTTGCAAACTGGCGTGTGGATGTCACAAGTGATGATAGAAAAGCTTCAAGTCATGGCAGCAGTTACACATAAATATATTGTGTAAAACAAGACCCAGTAACAATCACTTGCTAATTCTACTGTTTGAGACAGCTGCTTGCTTTCAGGGCTCTTACTGCTTGTTGTAGTTAATCTTGCACTTCAGTTGCAAATAACATTCAAGGATGAAATGTTTATGAAGACTTCAGTATTACTGTTGGATTCAGTAGAGATATGCTTATTGGTGTTTTAATATCTAGTATGTTCTTTAAATATGATTTTTCTTATTGTAATGATGAAAGTAATCTTCCTGGGATCTTTATTATGTGACTCATTTCTATGTAGAAATGGCTACAAAATTACATTTGGATCTTTGTGAAAAGACGGTAAAGAGAAGAAACAGTATATTTGCATGTAGTTGAAGTCAGCTTTTATACCAAACTTACCTCTCTGTGTTACTTTTCATGCTAACACCTGCACAGGTGTGCAGACTCACTCCAAATCGCCTTCATTTATTCTGTCAAGTTGCTGCTACAGTGCTTCTCATCACTCTTAGGAATGATTGGTCCATCAGCAGCAAAATAAGGACTGACATAATATGCCCAGGTATTGATCAGATAATTAGGTACTTGAGTTATCTGGCGTTTGCAGGAATCTTTCCTGTTTTGAACTAAAGGTGTGATTAATTAAGCCTGTTGAGACTAATTTGCGAGAATGCTTTTTAATGGAAATTTATTCAGATAAAGGTCCTGATTATTTTCTGCTCAGTCTTCCTCCAGGAGCACAAGCCTGAAAGGCACTTCCCAAATCCAGTCCCCCACTGTTTACTTTCGTAAACTTTCCAGTCCTGCTCTTAAAACTAATTAGGTTTGTTTCCTTATGTTGTTCCCACTGTGAGGCTACACCATACTTTCTGAGCTCTGACAGCTAGATGCTTTCTAGTCTCCAATCTGAACGTATTCATAGCAGATATAATCCCTTTTATCCTTGTGCCAACATCTTGCTTTAGTTTAGGCAGTCCTCTGTGGTGTTTGTCCTTGATGTCTTTGCAAAGTGCTACCCATACTGTCTTTTCCTATGTTTTTTAGGTCAAATAAGGCAGGTTCTTTTATAGTTTTCTCATTGTGTATATACACCACAGGGACCATCTCAAAGGGTGTTCCAGCTGATGTTAACCTGTTTTTCAGATGAGTAACCACGATTAATCTGTCTGCTGTTTAATTTTAGAAAAAAGCATTGGTAAATCTTTTATTTTTTGCTGATACATTTTAGGCTGAACTTTGTTTTCCATTACTGTCTCCCATGAGTGACCTGTTGGAAATTACTGTCAACTGGCAGCATATCCACCTGTGGTCTTCATTTGTTGCAAATGCAGATTGTCAGACTGAGCCCTCAGTGCTACTGGACCCAGTTCTTCTCCTTTGATACTATCTAGTACTGTGGCATTTCACATGTACTTGGAAGCAATCAAATTCAAAAGGTAACTTCAGGGCTCTAAAAACCATAACAGTTTACCTGTAGCTAATACTGGATTTTCTTACAGTGAGGGTAATGAGTTGATGGATAAATGTGTGCCATCTGGTTGTCATTCTTGTGGTGGCTACGAAACGTTGTTGGAAATGAAGGCACACAGTATATTTAGGTATTTATGACTGGGTTTCTGATGCATTCTGGGTGAGATGTATTCCTGAAACATCTCCAGAAGTGAATTTGGCATTACCAGTGTTTAGTTTGCTGTGTTCTGAAAAGGACTTTTTTTTTTTTTTTAACTCTTCTAATTAAATAAGATCTGTTTTAGGAGCAGCATGGAAAAAGGGTAACATTATAATGATATGGAATCTTAATTTGAAGAATGGATATTATTTGATGTGTTGCATTTAAATAATGAAAAAACAGATGCATATCTGTCACTTTCATTTCATCTTGAATGGTTGTTGTGGTATTTGTGGTCTTTTAGAAAGTGTCTTAGAGTGTTGAAGGTGCTGAGGAGCTTATATGCCTCCAAATTTGCAGTCACCTTCCCCATTATTCTCTGAACAGCAGCAATGCAAGGAACTGATTATCACCCAATGCAGACACTAGGATTTTGAAGGTATGTTCTTTATAGAACACACTTAATTTTGAAGTGGAAAATCACATTACCACTGTGTCAGGCTGTCTTGTAAAAATAGATTTCCATGAATTTGTAGCCATACTTCAGATTTACCTCCAAAACATGAAACTTTTATGCAAGGTAACATGCTTCTTAGGCATAACAATATCTTTGCAGATGAAGTACGTAGTCAGTGTGTTTGAATAATTGAGTGATATTTGTGTGCCCTGTGTTGTGTGCACAAGTGTTCCACCATCTTCTGTTCATCTTGGTTCTCTCCTATGGATGTAAGTGTTGTTTTTAAAAGAGATAGAAGTTCAATTATTTAAACCATGGGTATCAACCTATTGTGATCCAGAACTGGGAGGGACTTATGAGTCATCTTGTCCCTTTTCCTGCTTTCCTTACACAGTCAGTTCATAAAAAAACCCTCACAAGTTTTCTCTTACAACACTGGTACTACGTCTTACTCCTTGGCAGTTCAAAATACTACTCTGACTTCCCATCTAAATTTATTCAAGAGATTTATGTCTCCTCTGCCACTTTTGGATTATGTGTTATGTGGTTCTTTTTCATCCTGTGTGTTTGCCATCTTGATGTGCTTCTAAACAGTAATCTATGTTGATTTTGTCTGATTCTCTGTAATCATTTTTCTGCTTTCCTGATCATCTGAGAAGCAGCATACTTCTTGCTGTTAGATCTCATCTTTCCTCAGTGTGAGTGACCATATTTTTCCACAGTCTTCTAGATTTCAGTCCATCTTATCTCCAGATACAGGAGTGAAGAATTATCCCTTGAAATGGAAAGATGAAATGAAAAAAAGTGCTGTTTTTAGGCAGCGTGAGATGTATTTGTGTAATTCACTGCTATACATTGTTGTTGAATGTCAGAGCATCATGATAATAAAAAGAAACACTTTTCATTCTGTAATTTTCTTGTGGATATTCTGTCTCAGGAGGACACTGCAGTGATGTAGTTTTCTGTGGGCATGTTAACTCAGGTCATTCTCTGCATCTTTGTGTTTCAGTTCCTCACCTGTCAGTCAGGAATAGAGTGTCTGCTTAGATGTTATATTAGTGTAATCAAAAATATGCTCGTGTAGCCCCTGGCCAAATGAATCCCTTTGTTCTTGGCTATTACCAAGGGCTCCCTAAATCAATGCTAATTTTAAACAACAAACTTTTTTCATGAATTTTTGGGACTATATGGGAGTTTTAGCATCAACCTTGGTGTGGTTTTTGAACTGAAGCCTCCTGGCACGGCATCAGCAGCATACTACTACCATATTTATTTTTCTGGCCAGAGATTGCCCTGAACAGAGTTGCCATGCTGCAGCTAAGTAACCTCTTCATCACAGAGTGGTGAGTGTGCCGTGTACACAAGTGCACTGAAGTAGACCCATGGTTAAAAGAAGATCACAATGGCAGTTTCCTATGACTGCATTATGAGGGTTGACCATCACCATTTTGGTGAAACTGCTGAGTGTTATGAGTGAAACAACGGTGTGCTGAGAGCCGTGTTTTTCTCCATGGTGTTTTGTATTGAAGTCAAGCTATTTTTGCAGGGAGATCTGCCAGAAGAGCTTAGCTCATGGGTTTCATGCAATGGAATGAATTTTCCTGGGACTAAATGCAGAGTTGAATGGAGTTGTGTGTAATCAGCTGCGGGTGTGTGCATCTGCCTGCTTCATGACCTGGTCTGTGAGCTATCTAGTGTGCACTGTGCTTCCAGTGCCTACGTCCTGGGCTTCACATTTAGAACTGCTTTTCCTCTCAGCTAGTGCTCGGGAGTTGGCAGTCTGGCTCCCCTCCATCTCTCTTTGGGTGCAGTGCTGGGCACTTTCCATTCTTGGCTGACGACTGGGAGGTTTGGCAGAGGTCTCTGATCTGAGTAAATATATGTGAGGGCATCTCTTCACTGCCGAGCTGTATAGCATTGCCTGTCCTAATCAATAATGGATGAAAGGTCTTAGGATGTGTGGAAATGTGTTGGGGGTCAGAAGGTGAAGGATGTTGTTGTCACAAGCTGAGAAAGATGTCAGGGTTTTTGTGCATGCTATTCAAAGGCTGAGTTAAAACAGTAAGTCACTAGGGAGACGTTCTAGTAAAGCAGCTCTGTCCGTATACATAAACCCTCCAGCTCCCAGTCCGTGCAGGTAGCGTTCGATGAACTGGTGATGAAAAGGAATTAGCTGGCTGGTAATTCATCTAAAAGATTGGCAGAGGATTTTATAGGCTTACACCAGAGCTGGCTGGAGACAATAATCTCTTTTCTCAAAGAATGCTGAGGTCCTGACGCCCAGCTCGTTGGAATGAAACCTGAATGCTTTTTAATTCTCTGTGAAAGATTTTTTTTTTCCTCACTGGTTTTTGTTTTTAGGAAGGAACAAAATGTTTCATTGTGATTTTGTCAATGATTTTGATATAATGGATTAAAAGAGTAAATGTCTTCCAAATACCAAAGCTTTTTAAAAGAAGAATTCCATTCCAAACACATCAGAGCTGTTTTCTCCTCTGAATTTTTGCTGAAATTTCATTTTAAGGAAAAGTTTACACACTTCGGTGGCAGTGTGAGCTCCCTTGCAGCAATGATGTGCAGCAGAATTTCTGCTAACAGGATTTTTCATACAGTTATACTTTATGCTATCCTAGAGTTGAAAGGGGCAGGGGGGAGGCTTGCGTCCACTTGACAGCCTTTTACAGTGCCAAAGCAATGTAAAAAGGCCTCAGAGTGCATAAGAAACAAGAGAAATCTTTGGTTTTAACTGCCCCTGGATGAGTGAGCAGGATTGATCGATGCCTTACTGTAATTTTACACTTGCACAATTCTATTGCAAACTGTAATAGTACAGAAGAGAAAGAAACAAGGTTAGTACGGTGCTACAGAGTAGGCTTTGGAGAAGGGACATCTGGCTCTAAGTTCTTATGCCACAGTCTCTTGATAGGACTAGAAGGGAAGGAAGCTTAAATGGCAGCTATTAGAGTTACCTGGAGGCTCTAGTGGGCTCTTTTTCATCTTGCTTTTCTATTTCTTCCTGTCAGTCAGAAATGAGACCCCTTGCCAGCCATACAACACTGGTGACTGGTCTGCCATTCACAGGTAACACCAAAGCTCAGCAGTTTCCAGATGTGCACACTAAGATCCTTGTTTGTCAGATCAGCTTTAGCTAACTTTCCCTCTTTTGGTTGGAAAGGAGTATTGTTATTTGAAAAACAGCGAGTTTGTCAGATGTGGTACTTTTCAGTGTCAGCATGTCACCCTCCAAGTCTATTGCTGCTTCTCTCTGCAGAGGGGTGTAGCGTCTGAAGAGGCTGTGGCTTGCAGTAAGAACTGCAAATGTAGGGCTTGTGTAGAAAACACAGTGGTTTCTCTGA